GCGGGTCGCCCGTCTCCTGCCCGCCGAGCCCGGGGCCCATGGCCGCAGCGAGCGCGCTGACGGATCCGTCGCGGGTAAGAGTGGGAGCCCCCGAGGGCTGCGGAGGTGGCCGGCGCCGCGGGCGGGCGGGCGTGCGCGAGCCCCGCTCCTGCCTTTCCCGAAGGTGAGGGCCCCGAGGCCGACCCTCGGCCCTTTCGCTGTGAGCGCAGGGAGCGGCGCCTTGTGTGGCCGATAGGGCAGGCAAGACAGCGTCGGTGGTTGTCCGGAGCCGTTGTTGGTTTGGAACAGAAAATTGGACGTCCTCCTGGTTGAAAAAAAATTTTGCGCTGGAGACCGAACCTGCGGCCTTTGAGCTGAGCCACATTGTGTCTTGCTAAGTTTCTGTATCGCCCAGGCTGCAGTAGAATTTGTGACTCTCCTGCTTCAGCCTCCCAGAGTGCTGGGATCACGGGCATTGACCACTGTGCCTCGTCGGCTTGTTGTTTTGTTCTGGTCTTTGTTGTCTTTGCTGGTTAGACTTTTTGAAAGCATCCCACCTTTTGCCGAGCAGAGAACAGGTGTATGGAGGGAGGCGCCTTCTGCAGTCCAGGTGTGGGCAGTGATGGTTCCTGGATCCGGTGGCCATCGTGGTGGTAAAAATGGTTGGACTGTGGATAGATCTGCTTCTGCGTGAGGTGTGCAGTGTGTGGTGAGTGAAGAACTGACCCAGGATTTTCAGCTCGAATGCAGACAGAAACGAGAGTTGGAGGGGAAAAGTGGTTTCTTTCAAAGGAAAGATCAGGAGTCCCTAATGTCCTAGAGTGGCGCTGTTGAGGGGAGCTGGACTTCTGGTGTCCAGCTCACAGGGTCCCAGTGTGCTGGGCCAAAGCAGGGTCCAGGAATTGGACCAGAGAGGGTATGATTCCCTACCAGCTCTGCACAGCCTGACCGTTCCTGCTGCTGTTCTCTCCCAAGCCCCAGCCTTTCAGAGCTGGCAAGGAGGGCCCTGGCAGGGGACCGGGTGGGGAAGGCGGCAACGAGGTGGACAGGAACTGGAGTAGGGCCAGAGAGGGAGGAAGGAGCTGATTTCTTGTGTAAGTGGACCATACCCTGTGGGAAGTGGATGTAGTTATCTAGTTCATCAGACTGGAGGACCAGCCTTGAAATGTCAGGGAGACACAGCAGGGGAGGCCCCTGAAATGAGCACAGGGGACTGATGAGGACTTGCACTGTTGCTCATTGCAGGTGCAGGCAGGGACCCCTCGTCGCAGGCTTGTTGGCGCCTGAGTGGACACCTGGGGCTACCCTTGGTGTAGCTGCAGCCCAGGGCCCCAAGACATGAGTTCCCTTGCTGAGGTGGACAGGCCAAGAGAGTACTGTGGCCTGTCAGGGTGGGGAAATGCTGTCTGAGAAAGGTCTGGGTAGGACCAGTGAAGGAAGAGGAGTGTCAGAGGCTTGAGTGGAGGCAGCTGTTAGGGCGAGGAGCTAGATGTCATGCTGCCATGCCTCAGACTGTCTCCTTCCTGCTCTTGCAGGGCATGATGGCTTTCGAGGATGTGGCTGTATACTTCTCCCAGGAGGAATGGGCACTCCTAGATCAGGGCCAGAGGGCCCTGTATCGCCAAGTGATGCTGGAGAACTTCGCGCTTGTGGCCTCACTGGGTAAAACTCTGGGTCCTTGTAGAAAGTAACCGTGGTGCCAGAATGGGCCATCAGGATGGCTCCCACTTCCCTGGTCACCCATGAGCAGGGTCTTCTGGTTAGGGGTCTGTAAGAAAGGGTCGCAGCCCCAGAGATGTATAATCCGGGTGGCTTAGGTATTTCCATGCCCTGGTCTGGCTGCAGTTTCCTGTGCCTGGCTCTGTCCCCTTTCTGATGTACTGCTACTTGCACCGATGGCACCAAATGTTTCCATGGACTCATGGCTCCTGCTGCATGTTGAGGGGTGACTGGTCCTGAGCTGCTGATGGCCTCTCACGTGATCTTCCTCTTTCCAGGATTTTTTTCCTCCCCACCTCGTGTGGTCATCCAGCTGGAGCGCGGCGAGGAGCCCTGGGTTCCCAGTGGGAAGGACTCCATCCTGGGCAGGAACGCCCACAGGAGGCTGGGCCTTGGTGAGTCTTTGCTCATGGTGGACTGAAGTAAGGACCAATCTATTTCCTCTCCTGTCCAAACAGACATATCCTCTTCTGCCTCCAGTCTCTCTTCCCACCTTCATCAGCTACTCCTGAAGGGTACAGCCCGGGGGCCGGGGAGATGGCTCAGTGGAATAAGCACTTCCCTGGCAAGCGCAAGGCCCTGAGTTCAATCCCTGGTTCCGTCAACAACAAAAAATAATAATGATTCCTGGAGGCCCGCCCATTAGCTCAGTTGTTTAAGTGCCTGCTTAAACAAAGCAGTCAGTCTCCAGGCAACCCAGACCAGCGCTGGAGGCAATCTGGAGACGCCAAAAATAAATAAATAAATAAATAAATAAATATATATGAATAAATAAAGGGCACAGCCTTGATGCCCTGGAAGGCAGAGTTCCAAGGGCATAGGAGCTGTTTTCACATATAAAGTCACTCACAGGCCCAGGGGAAGTCTGTTCAGAGTAAACCCCCAATGAAGCTGGGTCCAAGCCCTCCACGTCTCACTATGTTTATGGGTCTTTCTTTCTTTCATTCCTGTGTTCAAATGCCTTTGCACTTGACATGACCAAGTTTGTCCCAGACACTCTATCCTGTTTTGTGGAGTTGATGCCATAGCAAGGCAGCTGCTAAGCAGTGTCCACGAGAGGTCTTCAGCCTCAGGGGAGGGTACCAGTGCAAGGGACAAAACCAATTTGGGAAGCGACTGAGAATGGACGAAGGGGTATGGAAGGTATTAGCCTTTGGTCTCTCTGACTCCATACCTGAGAGAAACAGGTTAAAGGAGAGAAGTTCATTTTGACTTGGTTTCAGAATTTCATTCCACAGTTGGTCAGCTCTTTTGCATTTGATGTATGATGAGGCAGATGTCATGGCAGAAGGGTGTGAAGGAGAGGCGCTGCTCACCTTGTAGCAGCCAGAAAGCACCCTGTGGTCCAGTCCACTTCTCAGAATCTGAGCTCGGAGCACATGAACCTTTTGGAGAAGATACAGAAAAAAGTTTTGGTACTAGGGATTGTGCCCAGGACAATTGCACTGAGATCTAGCGCTTGCTTGCTTGCTTGCTTGCTTGCATTCATTCATTCATTCATTCATTCATTCATTTATTTATAAATTTTGAGACCGAGTCTGGGCTTTGACTTGTGGTTGTCTTCCTCAGATTCTCAGAGTGCTGGGTTATAGCTGTGTGCCACCACATAGCATTGAGATTCAAACTGTAACATTCCAGTCCTGGCTCACAAAAGATCACATATATTACTTAATCCAGAATACATGTTAGTCCGTATCACCAAGCATCCTCAGTCTCAGCTGTTCCAGCTTTTCTCAGAAGTCCCAAATTCAAAGTCTCTGTGACTCAAGGCAAATTTTAACTGTGAGCCTGTGTAAAATTCAAAAAGCAAGTCCAGGGCTGGTGAGATGGCTCAGTGGTCTAAAACACCTACTTAGAACAAGCTTAGCAAAGCACAGGGACCACAGTTCAATCCCCCAGCACCACATGCCAGCCAGCCCCGCCCCTGGTGGGCTGAGCTGGCCACACACACACACACACACAAATAAATAAAACCATTTAAAAAAAAAAAAAAACAAATCCAGCTCCCACATTAAGTCCTGTGGCTCCGTGTCCCCTGTCCAGGGCACATGGGGGAATGATATGCATTCCAAAGGGCCTAGGCACCCTTGCTCTAATGGTCTTGCCAGTTGCAGCCCACATAGCTTCTCTCTTGGACTGGCTGTGCTCGCTGACTGGAGTGTTCCTTGGCAGACGTTCCATGTTCCTGGCATCTCTAACTTCCTGGGGTACCCACTGCAGCTTTGGCTTGACTCTCAGGCTTCACTCATGGCCCTTTTTGGGTTCCCCACAGAGACGCTGACCTTGCCACATACCACCCAGCCTCTAAGACGGTCCTTTGAAGTCTCTGTGGAGTCTTGCTTGACCTTGTAACTTATATTCTGCAAGCCTGCAAACCAACATCAATGGCCAGTGAGATAGCTCAGTGGACTAAGCACCTGCTTAGGCAAGCACAGGGACTAGGGTTCAATCCCTGGTACTATATGAGGTGCTGGCCCCGCCCCTGGGTGCTGTGAGCGGGCCACCAAACCGGGGCAAAACGTGAGCATGGTGGCGCAGTCCTGTAAACCCTGCACTGGTGAGTCTGAAAACAGGATCACTGAGTCCAGGCTATGTGGAAAGACCCTGCACCAAATACATTAAAAAAAAAAAAAAAAATTCCAAACCAGCGTCATATGGTGATGCCAAGCCAGCTAAGGCAGAGGCCATGTCCTCTTCGACCAGAGCTGCAGCGGCCCTGGAGCACCTGGATGCTGCGTGTGGTAAGCTGATGCTGGGGAAGTGCAGCAGGTGCCCTAACTGCTCTTCTCTGAGCAGAACCCTTCAAAGCGAACAGCCTTGAGCTTTGGTGAGTGAGGTTTGGCCTGTTCCGAAAAGGCTGCCTACAGTTCCTAGTGCAAAGTCTTGACTTTTTTTCCTTCCTAATATTTGTTTTATTTGCGCATTTTAGATATGCATAATGATAGAATTCACCATAGGCAATTTGTACCTTTACATGATATATCTTGCTTCTCTTTTCCTGTTCCTTTTTCTCCCTTCAACCCATCTTCCCCTCCTTATTTTCATTTAAAAAAAAAAAAAAAAGCTTTCTTGGGGCGGGGAGATGGCTCAGTAGAATAAGCGCTTCCCTGGGTGCAAGGGCCTGAGTTCAATCCCCGGTTCCGCCAAAACATAAATAAAGCTTTCTTTGCATCTTTTCATTCTATTTTTTCTCCCTCTCCCCACCTTGTTCCCCTTCCTTTGTTTTTTTTCAACTCCTACTTATTTGAACATTTTCTTCTCATTTCCCAATATCTATTACTTGTTTACATTTTCCAGTTTTCACACCAGAAACACTGCCCAACTTAAACATGTGTATCTGGCTTATTTCACTTAAGAGAATGGTCTTGTAAGGTTATCGTTTAGCTAGAAATGTCTTACACTTATTCTTTTCATTTATTTATTTTTTGAGACAGAGTCGGCCAGGCTGGTCCAGATGATCAGCAGGATCAAGTGATCCTTCTGTCTGAACCTCCTGAGTGCTGGGATGATAGGCTTGTGCCACCATACCCAGCAAACTTATCCTTCTTTGTGGCTAAGTATTACTCTGTCTTGTATGTATGTATGTATGTATGTATGTATTTATTTATTTTGCGGAACCGGGGATTGAACTCAGACCCTTGCGCTTGCCAGAGAAGCGCTTATTCCACTGAGCCATCTCCCCGGCCCACTCTGTTGTATTTAAAAGCCACATCTTTACCCACTCATCAGTTGATGGGCATTTGTGCTGTTCTCAGATTTATGTGCTGCTATAAATATGGGTGCAAATATATCACTGTGGTATGATGTTTTTCATTCTTGCAGGAAGATAGCAAGAAGGGGAATAGTTGGGTCAAATAGAACCTCTAGTTTTAATTTTTATTTATTGTTTTGTATTTTAGGGAAAGGTCTACAGGGTGTTCAGGGTCTTACTACTAGATCGGACTCATAATGATTCACCTGTTTACAGCCTCCCAAGAGCTGGGATTACAGGTGTGTGCCACTACTCCCAGTCTCAATTGCAGTATCAGCGCATCCTGGGTGCGAGGAGGCACAGCAGGCTCGGGGATCGAACCCCTAGCCCCTGTGCCTACTTGCAGGCGCTTTAACCCGCTGAGCTATTTGGCCGGCCCCCTAGTTTTAATTTTTAGAGACATCTGCACACTGATCTCCACAGCGGTTGTACCAGTCTACACTCCCACCAACAGTGGAGCCAGCACAGTCCCGCCAGCATGTTACTGGTTCATTTCTTGATAATGTTTATTCTTGCTGGAGATGGAATTCAGCATCACTGCATTTCTCAAGTGAGCAGGGATGTTAAACATTTTTGATAGGGCCGGGGGCATAGCTCAGTAGAATAAAAACTTGCCTGGCAAGAGCAATGGCCCAAGTTCAATTCCTGGTTCTGAAAAAAAAAAAAAAAAAAAAAAGCAACAACAAGAAAAAACACATTTTTTTATGTTTATTTGCCATCTCTACCTCTTTGTCTAAGAAGTGCCTGTTCATTTCAGATGGCCATTTTTG